GGTCGTTTCGGAACCTCATCTGCCCGGCTCGGGGAGGCCGGAGGCGCTGGAGTGGGAAGGGGTGGGCTCCGCACGCAGCCCCCAGGCATTCCCGGCTGCACCGCTCCCCTCCCGCACAGCCTGCCCGGCTGCACCCACCCGCACGCTTGGGGGCCACGACCAGCCCCTTCCAAAAACGCCGCTTTTGGCACGCGTAGGCAAGAGAAATTTTATTTACGAAAGATGTTTCGATGAAAACGTCTTAGGAGTCGGAAAAGACGATGCAAGTTTATGGCGGAAATGACTTAAAATAGAACAAATTGCACAAAATATTAACACTGATCATACAGTATTTCAAAGATTAACAGGCATGTGCTACAGAAACTGTAGAGTCTAGAAATATCCCAAATATATCTAGTTTACAGATCGCTGTACAAAAAGCAGTTATAAATACTTCACATCTAGAAAAAATACACAGAACCTTTGAAATAGACTTTCCCTTACATATAAACAACCTTTGTAGAAAAAACAAAACCACCCAATACAGGCCTGGCTCCTAGATATGTCTGAACTAGTACTGGTTAGCACCAACATCTTCGTTAAAAGTGTCACAAACAGGAGTTGACTTTTGACTTTTAAAAATAATGTCAGCATTTACAATTTAATTTAAGACCAAATGGGGACTACAGAAGATAACACAGTATGGCACATTCAGAATTTGGTAGGAGGTGAGTACCAAGGAGGTGGTAGGAGACAAGCTACGCTGCGGTCAGACGTAAAGGGTGGTTTGTGTACTTCTCTTTCATACAAGGCTCCCGTTTGTGGCAGCAGTGAATTACTTTGACCCTGATCTTTCAAACACTTATCCACATGATTGATGAAGTCAACGCCAGCAGTATCAGGCCTTTTAATCTATTCATTTTCTTGCCATGTCAGAAGTCAAAACCCTTCTGAAATAAGACACCTGTTGTGAAGTTGTAATAACCGAAATGCACATTTCCCTAGAACACCTGCGTGGAATTGCACTAAAAATAAAAAGTAAAATACGTTTTGTAAAAGGGAGTCCAAGAAAGTTTATTACAGACAATTTGGCAGGCTCAGGTTTATGGTAACGCAGTGTTTCTACATACAGTTTTAAGACTAGAACAATTATAAATCTTTTTAAAAAAATCTACTAACTTTTCTTGTTAATATTAACATCAATTTCTTTAAGTTAGTAATCTGCCATTACAGGAGCATAGCACCAATTTAATATTTATTGCTGTCATTTATCCCTACAAATATATTTTCCCAAGATATTTACAACTGTACAAATATTCACAAAAGTGCAAAATTAAGACTTTATTCGGTGTAACTGCTCATTGTGTTCAGCGTTGAGTCTCACGCATCGCGATGACGGCCGTCTTGCCTTTCTTATTTATTGCTGTGTGCCGAAAAGTCAGAACACCCCGCTGTGCGCGCAGCGATTTGGAGAGACAGCGTCCAACAACCGTCCCTCCCGCCCCTCGCTCCCTGCTCGCCTTCGGCTCCGTTTGGAGCCGCAGTCGCAGCCCACTGGGAAGCGTCTCTATCCATCGTTCGAGCCTTGGCTGGCGCAAGAGGAGAAGCTATCGTACAGGGAGTCGCTCAAGGATTCTAAATTGTCCACTTCGTGCCTACCCGAGCTATTTAAGGAAGCTTCTTCTTTCCTTCCGTTTTCCTCCTTTTGTCCTTCAACCTTGTTCAGACAGTTCTTCTCTTTTTCTAATAAAAGTACGTTATTGCTGTTAAATTTATTGAGAGACTCCAGGGAAATTTTAGATAATCTATTCTGGGAATCCTCTTTTGTTTCTTCAGTTTGCTTCAATTTCTGTAATAAGCGAAGGAAATATTAGGAACATATTTCTTATAAAAATAAAGTTATGCTACTGTACACCATCAATTACCGTCTTTCCAAAGTTCACAGGGTTAAAGGAAATAGATTCTTACATGCTTAAATATCTGTTATAATTCAATAGAACATTAACGTCCATTTTAGGATAAATCATAACTTTAATGATTCTGCTGAGACAAATAGGACTCCATTTACAAAACAGTTAAGTGCTATTAATGTCTTAAGTAGCAGATCCTTGGTATGCATGTGTTAAGCATCTCCAGCATCTTCACAGTAATTTACATCTTTTCCTTTACGAATACTTTGGGGGGTTATGTTTAAACGGGTATTTGTTCAAGTAGAGCTTGGAGTCGGCTAAAAAAAAAAAGGTGCATAGACACGTTCAGAGGAGAAAATCGCATTTTCCATAAATTACAGACACAAATGAAACTTGCTAGAGAATAACCTCACATTTTGCATGTGTAAGCCTATTGATTTCCACGGACCCAAACCCTCTCTAATAGACAAGAAAGCAACAAGACAGGAAATTATACAGAACTGGGCCAATCCCCGCAGACCAGAATCAATGAGATATTGGCCAGGCCTACTCGGAGAAGTGGTGTAATTCTGCGGGAACACCGGACGATGTATTAGCACATTATATTAAAAACACACAGTAGGATTATACAGGAGTAATTTTATTCCTTTGTTAGCTACTGGTATTTTCAATCAAGATCTGACCGAGGAATAGTTAGGGAACTGCGTAGGGAGCAGTTCAATAAAAATGACCTGCCATTCATATGCAGGGTGTTTAAAAACCTGTGCAACTAACTCCTCTTACAGATAATATTATCACAGAAACAGGAGATAACATTCAGCATTTTATAGGACTCTTGGAGAGGTAAGATGCCGGAATTCTGAGATACGCTGTCAGAGTGCAAGCCATTCCTCATTTTTGGTATTATCATCAGATAGCGAAGACTGAATAAGTAAATTGCTGTCAGTCCAAGACATTAATATTTTGGTTTAGAAACGGTATTTTAAGCACACTGAAAACATAGCATGGCCAGATGTATATATGATGTGGGTCATTACATACACAGTTGTAAAGGGTTGCTAGAATTTTTTGAAAAATTCAGGTTTCAAGTCAGTCAAATGTTGTGCATGCTGTGCTGCCTATCCTGGGAAATCTTGGGCAAGGGGAAGACAAATTGGTACATAGTTTGAGTGGTTGGTTTTATGGCTAGTTAGATAAAAATTGAAATGCCAGTCCAAAGACTGTTTATGTTGTGACCTTGTCATATTTTGTAAGCTAACAATGCCTGGATTAGGTCAATGTTTTTATCAAATGTTTCAAACTTAAGCTAAGCAACAGGAGATGCTAAACTCCTAGTAAATGAAAATTTTCTGTTTGGTTCATTAATTAATCTTCAGTCTAAAAGGCTTTAGGGGATGTTACGCTAGATTCTGATTTTAGATGACAGTTAAAACTACGGTCTTCAATATCTGTAATTACAATGTTTTCTGAAATAGAGGCGTATAACCCTTGGTAATGGGAACAAACACAAATTTAGGACCCTTCTCCACAATTTCAGCTTAAAATGTTCTTCCCTTTGTCCTCATTTAAAGTATTACTGAAACAGTTATTTCACTTCTCCATAGGCCAGATGAGAAAATTCTCAGACATGGCATCAATAACATACACATTAGCACTTTTTGCTCTTCAGAGTACTAAACTTGAAATACTTTATTATATGACAGACTAAATGATTTTTCTTTGTGTATATTTGTCCCACTTCATAGCTTTTCTTTAGATAAATTGAATGTGGCTGCTTAGCACAGACTTGGGGCTGCAGGAAGTCAATACCGGTGTTAGTAAGGTCTATGATAAAACTTTCATTGATTCAAATGGAGCCAATTTCAGCTCTTGGTAGGAGGAGCAGAGACACCTGGAGTATTTGCTGCACAGAGCAGTCCAGATGAAGTATCAAGATAAGAGTAGGATCTTTGGCTGGCTGAAGGATAGATTTAAACCACAGGGCAGACTGGAGTGAATTCAGTGGTATATTCTGCATATATGTAGTATCAAGAATTTATTATACCCTGCAAGCACAACCCTCGCCCACAATCCTACTTTAATCGCACCCTAGTTTGTCATTGAATGTAAGGTTAACAGTTTATAAGATATATTTGAGAAACTGCAGGGAACAAAAGTATTCTCTACAAATTTTAAGTTAAATCATTGAATCAAATGAAATTGAAGTGAAGCCCATCAGTGAAACCCACTGGCAAAAGATACACAGAGCAGTGAACAGTACATCTACGATACATCAGGAATTAAAGGAAAAACTAATTCTAAAAGCTGTTGTAGCAAAATTTATTACTAAAATAGAGACAGAATTCAGAAATGAGTTATGGACATTGTTTTGGACATACAGTTGTCCCTTTTAGATGTCTTAATGCCCAGTTGCATCCTTTTGTAAAAAAAAAAAAAAAAAAACAACCTTTCTTTTAACACATTACTGCTATAGTATGCAAGTATGCAAAGGTAATGCTCATGTGATGTGGAAAGTAACACTTTGCGTTTTTTTCATTTGATGTAGGTGTAATCTGTTTGGCTACAATACACTGTTTCAGGCCACCTATTGCTAATTTTATAACCAGGTAAGAATGTGCTGTCATCTGGATGGGACTTATGGTAGGGAATTAATATTCTAGAACTGTACTCAGATATCAGATGCACAATATGTACAATATGATCTTATCTCACGATTTTATTAGTACAGCTGCACTGAAATCCATTAAATTTTCTGTTAAATCACATATGGAATAAAAATGTATTTTTAGTTAGAAAGTTAAAATATGATACTCTAGTCCTTGACACATAGCAGAAAACTCATTCACAGCCTGAGCTCCATGAGCAAAAACAAAGAAAACTTTAAGCAGAGGTATTAATGTAAGAATCTGCCTGGTCAACAAATCATTTTCTCCCACAGTAACAAAATTATGTGCATTGCTAGAGTTGAGAAGTCACTGATAATTTCCTTAAACTTGGTGTCTCGTAGAACAAATGTTACCCCAAGTTCTTTAAGAATTTTTTCTGTAGTTACTATAGATACAATTTGGAAAAAATTACAAAGAGTATTTATTTAGATTCATCCTTAATTAAGTTTCTTATTTTTCATGGCAGTCACAACAGCTGCTGGATGAATCAAAAGGCAAAACCAAGGCAACTATTATTAGAATGTGTCTGATAAATTGTGTATGTGGTTAAGTAGTGTCTTTAGTTTTGTTCATGTAGACTTGTTACTGACTTCAGCAGAGTCACGGAGATGTAACAAAAACCAAGGGTTAGCCCAAAGATGTTAGTATTGTGCATTTTAAAGTAATTAGTTCATTAATGCATTTCAGAGTCACACTAATGTGAATCAGTAGCTTTTCCTGCAGCTAGGAACACTTGGCAGCAGATCAGATGCATTCTGTATCCATGAGAACTGGGTGAGATTTGGTAATAATGTAGAGAGCACCTAACCTCTAGGTCATGGGTTCTAGTCAAACCTCTCCTATATTAGTAGTGACTTTCTGCACAATGAACAGGTGGTTTTATCACCACAGAAAAAAAAGGACTTGGTGATTTTGTTCAGCGTTGCTAGAAGAGCTAAGAGGGGACCCAGAGTACGTGCTTGCTTTCAGGCAGGATCCTTCGCAGAAGTAATACTTAAAGCCATTTCAGCCTGAAGGTGTTGACTTTGCTGATGACTATTCTTCATCTGTTCTCTGTATAAATAAGGTGTCTGCTGCATTCCGTGTGGTCACTTACATGTTTTCCTAAGTATTAACTTAAGGAAAAAGATAAAAAGATGTAGTCACAGATTTTGGTCTAAGTAGAAAAAAAAATAGAAAAAAGGCTCAGTGCAGAAAAGGACTGTGATTTTCACAGTGCCTCTGTAAAAGCATTGGCCCATCATCCTAAAGCAGATCAATGTATAGCTTGTTTTACTTATATTAACTATATTTTTGTATAGAAAATCCATACCATTATAGCCTGAAGGAATGGGAGCATTTGTTGTTCTACTCTGTGGAAGTGGAGAGCTTCCCACCACCGGCCTTTCTTAGCTACTCAGTACGGGGTGCTTTATACCACCTGAGAGCACTGACTAGTTGTCAGAAGAGGAGAAACTCTATCTGACATAATACAGACATTCATCATGAGTCACATCACTTTGAAATAAACTCATGAGTCATGAATCAGAATAATGTTTCCTTTCTGGCAACATCCTAAAGGGAATAACTAAAACCCGTTAGTGATATAATAAAATCTGGCATGTCACTTCAAGCACAGCAAATTAGGAAAACAAAACTAGCCTGAAGTTACACTGATACATTATAAATAGGTGTTATTTCTACATTAATACATCAAATTAGATTTTTTTTTTTTTTAACTTTAAAAATGAGAGGTTACATGTGGGTAGAATGCCTTTTCAGTGCTGCGTGATCAAGGACCAGTCACAACTGTAGCTGTTCTGAATGGCACAAAGACTCTGCAGGTCTAGTAGGAAGGAGCAGGGAGGGATGGGCTGGTTCATAGTACAAAGGACCCCACAGCTGGCATGCAGAAAGGAATGCAACAGTAAGTCCATTTCTTTGGTATGGTAACACACAGAAGCTCTGATTGCCTGGAGGTCAGGCTATGCTTATAAGGCGTGCTGCAGCCCAGAATTAGCAATGAACCATTCTGCAGGATAAATGTATTTTCCAGCTGTCTAAGTTTAGTTAACCAGCACTTTAAAGGGCTCAGAATCAGTTACACACAAGAATAAAATGAACTTTATTTATGTCTCTCATGCATTGGGCAATTTAGTTTTTAGATTAACACAAAAGCAAGAAGGGCATTGCTTCAAGTGAAGTATAACTGCAAAATGCTATTGGGTAAAAACAACTAAATTGCTATGAGAATTAAATATAGATCAACAAAATCAATACTTAATTGTATAACTCA